TGACAAGAACATGTTTATCTGTGTGTCCTCCCTGGCCCAGCCCCTGCCTCCTCCTCTTGCTAACTACCACCCTGAGTTTTCTTTAGTATTTATTTGAGAAGCAAAGAGAGAGAGAGAGGAAAAGACAGACAGACACAACGCCCATCCACCGGCTCACTCCCTGAGTGCCCGTGAAGGAGAGCCATTCCCTCTGCCTCCTGGGGTTCACAGCAGGAAACTGGAGTCAGGAGCCGGAACTGGCTTGGAGCCCAGGCACTCCGAGTGATACGTGGGGGTCTTAACCACTGAACACCCCTCCGCACACACACACCACCCTGACTTCTGTGTTCATCTTTCTGTCTTTGAGTTTATATGTATATTTCAGTAGTTTATAAGATTCATCTACCTTGTCGCAAGAGGCCTCTCCTCTGGAACACTCCATGGCGACTTTACCCCAGCTTACTCATCCACTGCTGCCAACAGCAGTGTCTCTCAGGCACGCACCTGAGAATGGAACTGCTGAGTCACCATGTGAGAGACCTACGAGAAAGGTCATATACTCTCCACATGAAACTAGATGCAGGCGGAATTCAGATTAAGCATCCACAAATATCACTCACGCTTCACTTACGCGGCTGCCTTCCTAAGAGGTGATGTACTTACTTTCCGCCTATTCAATGCTGGATTTCAGGCTGCAGCCCAAGGCTCACTTCTCCCATGTGGCCTTTTTTATTTAACCTCCTCCAGGCTTCTGGCCCTGGGAACGTCCTCAGGAGAAGTCCAAGCTACTGTGCCAGTACTTCACTGCTTTCACAGCACCCTTCAATCTGTTACTTACACGGCTGTTGCCTACATTCCCACCCTAATTGCTGACAGCCTTTCACACTCGAATGACGGGTCTCAGCGCGACCATCACGGCCGGCACCGGGCAGCACAACTGACCCCACGTTCACACGGAATCCTGCAACAGAAGGCAAGTACTTACCTGTCCACGCATCTTTCAGCAGGCAAGACATGTCGTATTTAGAACAACTGATTGTCTTTAAAAAACAGTTAAGCCTATAGTTATATATAATTCTAGAGCAGAAAATCTAATTCAGAAACTCACAAAGATCCGAGGATGCAAAGTCACCTTCCCCCCACCTCCGGGAGTCCATTCACACAGAGACTACGAATCCGCGTGCTGCGTGTTTCACCCTTTGCTGTGGTTGCTAGGAAGCTGGAAGGTGAATTTCTGGTCCATCTTTACTAATTAGGATCTACATCTCCATGTACTAACTTTATTTTGGCTTCCTTTATTCTTAAAGCCCCTGTAGCTTATTGATACCCTCCTGCCCTTTTTGGTAATTTATCTCAAATCCTTTCTGGAATACAATGGGATAATAAGTAGCCAAATAAAAACAGGACTGTACAAAAATATGCTAAACAAATGAGATAAAATGCAGCCACCATTTTCGCCCATTGCCCTCACCTGAGGTTGGCCTAGGGGGTGCTGAGGTGTGTGAGCTGTCACCCATGAAGGTCAGCCTGAGGGTGGATGGCCACTTCTCTCCTCTCCTCGGCTTTAGCCACCAGAGCAGCCACGAGGTGTCGCTGGCATTCAGGCTTCATTCCGAGAATGGGACTGATGCTCACAAATGCAGGAACTGGGCACACACACTTAAAGCTGACAGTCTACACTGGGCATTTTGGTGCCCTGTCATGTACTCTGGTTTTCTGAAGTCTGGAGTCACAGTTACAGTCACTCCACGAGGCTCCTGCTCTACTGTGCCGAGACCTCTAACCAGGCAGGCACTCTGTTTGAGCGCTATTATACAGTACGTGTAAACGTCACTGTACAAGTATTTCAGGGGATGAAGAGGAGAGACAGAAGACTGCTACTCACCCAGGTCACAGTGAGCAGCTTGAGTATGTGTGCTCCTAAATCACAAGCCGTTAGAAAGCATACAGGACTGGGGCCACGCTGCGGCGTACTAGGTCAAGCATCCCATCCGCGTGCAGTGCTGGTGCCGGTTCGAGTCCTGGCTGCTCCTCTTCCAATCCAGCTCCTTGCGGATGGCCCAAGAAAGCAGTGGAAGATGGCCCAAGTCCTTGGGCCCCTGCACTCATGTAGGAGACCCGGAAGGAGCTCCTGGCTCCTGGCTCCTGGCTTCAGATCGGTGCAGCTCCGGCCATTGCGGCCAACTGGGGAATGAACCAGCAGATGGAAGACCCCCCCACCCTTCTCTCTCTGCGTCTCCTCTCTCTGTGTAACTCTGCCTTTGAAATAAATAAATAAATCTTTTTTAAAAAAGTATGTCATTGCATAAATTAAAACAAAAAAGGAAAGAGGGCACTATCATGTTCTCAAAATTATATATATGAAATACATGACATTTGCTCCCTTTGTATACATAAAATTTTTCTAAAAGTATCTACTACTGTAATGATACATTACTTTCTTGCTTGCAACTTAAAATGTTTTTAACAATTTATTTGTCTTCATTTTATCTGAAAAGCAGACACACAGAGAAAGACATAGAGGGATATTGCAGCACTGGTTCACTCCTGGCTGAAGCCAGGAGCCCAGAACTCACAGCAGAGACCTCAGGAGTTGATCCATCACCTCCTGCTGCCTCCGGGATGCACGTTAGCAGGAAGCTGGAACTGGAACCGAGGTGGAACGTGAGCCCGGCATACCAGTGTCGCAAGGAGCAGCTTAAAGCTGAGCCAAATGCCTGCCCCTCGCTTGCAGCTCCTCAAGTGTCCCAAGCCACGGGAAGACGAAAGCAGTGCCTTGGTTTGTGCACTCGGACGCATGTTGTGTGAGCCACACGCAGGCAGGGACCTGGACATCTTCCTAGCGCGCAGCCTTCGAGATTTACTGACCGCTTCTCCCAGACGAGGGAGGGCGCTCCATCCGCGTGGATGCGGACAATCTCACTGCCTTCTCATCTCTCAGTTCTCTGTCCCTCTCAGCCTGAGTTCCTCAAGAGCCAGGACCGTGCATCCCAGGCTCCTGGCATGAGCTCAGCACCCAGGAAAACAGGCATTCGGTGGGGGCCCGCAGTGTGGTCAGGGTGCGCGAGTCCCTCGCTCTGCCAGTTACTACCTAGTTATTCGGTGAACAAGCACTCGGCAACTTGCCACACGGGAGCTGTTAGACCGCCCAGTGGCCATACAACTGTTTGCTAGCTGGTCAACAAACAGCAGAACTAACCCAGCAGGACGCGGCTCCAGCCCAGCCGGGACTGGCCCTGCCCCGCCACAGCAAAGCCTCCCTCCCACAGCTTCTCCTGCGAGGGGCCAGCGTGGGCGCTGCCGCCTGCGGGGACCCCAGCTGCTGGCTGCCTGGGCAGAGGCGGAGGCACTGTCCGACACTGCACTCTGCTCTATCCAGGTAGGCTTGGTCTTTATACCTGCAAGCTCTTCTTTTTCAAATTCTGGGCTGCCCAGTTTTCTACTAACAATCTGGTGACCCCGCCAAATATCCTGCATAATGGAGCTCGAATCTGACCAACAGTGACTTGTGACTAATCTAGACTCATATATCAGTCTTTAGAACAGGCTGGGCTCCCACTTGGCTGCCGGCCTCAGAGGTGGAGGCCAGCGTCCTTGCAGGCCCAGAGCCCACACGCTTGGACAGGACTGTGGCTCTGCCCTTCCTGTTCACCACCAGGAAGTGGCACCACCCCCAGTATTTGAGGCCAGGACCGAGGGGTGCGGTTTGGATCAGGACCACCCACACAGTGCGGGCCGGCCTTATTATTATTTTTTTTTTTAAGATTTTATTTATGGGCTGGCACCGCAGCTCAATAGGCTAATCCTCCGCCTAGCGGCGCCGGCACACCAGGTTCTAGTCCTGGTTGCCCCTCTTCCAGGCCAGCTCTCTGCTGTGGCCCGGGAGTGCAGTGGAGGATGGCCCAAGTACTTGGGCCCTGCACCCCATGGGAGACCAGGAGAAGCACCTGGCTCCTGCCATCGGATCAGCGCGGCACACCAGCTGCAGCGGCCATTGGAGGGTGAACCAACGGCAAAGGAAGACCTTTCTCTCTGTCTCTCTCACTGTCCACTCTGCCTGTCAAAAAAAAAAAAAAAAAAGATTTTATTTATTTGGAAGAGTTAATTAGAAAGAAACTGAGAGGGAGGGGAGAAAGAGATGGAGGTAGGGAGAGAGACGGGGGAGGGGGGGTTAGAGAGACTGAGTGAGTCTGTCTTGCACACACTGTTCAACTCCCCAAATGGCCAGGAACTGCATCCAGGTCTCCCTCGCAGGTGCAGGAGCTCAAGCACTCAGGCCGTCCGCAGGGAGCCCCTGGGGCCTGTTCTTAACCTGGGTGGGGCCGGCGCCGCGGCTCAATGGGCTAATCCTCCGCCTTGCGGCGCCGGCACACCGGGTTCTAGTCCTGGTCGGGGCTCCAGATTCTGTCCTGGTTGCCCCTCTTCCAGGCCAGCTCTCTGCTGTGGCCCTGGAGTGCAGTGGAGGATGGCCCAAGTGCTTGGGCCCTGCACCCCGTGGAAGACCAGGATAAGTACCTGGCTCCTGCCATTGGATCAGCGCGGTGCGCAGGCCGCAGCGCACTGGCCGCGGTGGCCATTGGAGGGTGAACCAACGGCAACGGAAGACCTTTCTCTCTGTCTCTCTCTCTCAGTGTCCACTCTGCCTGTCAAAAATTAAAAAAAAAAAAACAAAAACCTGGGTGGGCCACAGCACTTTGCCCGGCTGTCCAGCAGCGCATCATTCCAGGGGGCCTGCAGCGCGTGCTGTGCCTGCACCCCCACCTCCTGCAGATTCCAAGGTGCAGTCTGCTAGCTGCGTCTACCCACAGAGGCCAGGCCAGCCGGAAGTGCCTGGGGGCCGTCTCCCAGCAGCCCACAAACTCCTGCACAACTTTTGAAGTTGCAGCGGCTCAGCAAAGAGCCAAAGCTAGCAGGATGCGGCACGAGACTCTGTCCTTGTGGGGTAACTTGTGCGCCCAAGGGCTGGGTACGGTACGAAAGGAGACTCCCAGGTCACGCAGTCATCACACACAAGAGCAAACTCCAACAAAAACAAAACAAACTTTAATTTGAATACAATGGAACGTAGTAATCGAAGTACAAAAATAGCTGTGGAAGGCTCTTTCCCATGTGCATGTAATGTACAGGACTATACACAGCACACTGCTGCTACAGAGCGCACAGGTTACACCCCATTCTGGAGCCTGGGCCTCCCTCTCCCCCAAGCTGTGTCTAAGACAAGCAGCTATCCTTAATAACAACATTGGATGGTACTTTTCTTTAAGCTAGTTTTTATTGTTTTTTTTTTTTTTATTTTGGCTCAATTCTATAGATTAAAAACTTTTAAAAATTAGTCTAAAATTCTGCTATTTTTGGAATATTTTCTCCCAAAAGACAGGAAAATGTAAGGGAAAAACTTTAGTGCTCAATTCAATAAAAGCTCATTTAAACATGAATCACCATCAGTGGAAAAGCTTTGCAAGTATAGGAAATTTTAAAATCATAGCAGTTCACTGGAAGACAAATTTCATTGCCAAAAGCTACTGAGAAGTTCATCTGTCTTTTCCACTACTGTGTTTCCCACTGTTTCAAATGAGGTAAGAATTATAAGAACAACAAAAAATTGTAGCAGGTTCTTCCCAGATGGGACGTACCTCGTACCCTAGACGCTGAGAACCAGTTATGGCCGACAAGGCAGGAACATAACGAGGGAACAGAGAAGCTTCGGCGATACGAACAATAACGTAGTCATTCAGGCCAGCTGATTCCCCGTGCTCCGAGCTGACTGGACACGGTGCGAGACAGAGGCCAGGCAGGCGGGCACTCCCCTGAGCAGCACTGAGCCCCAAGCCTGCCTCTGGCCATTAACCCTCTCCCCGGAGGCTTTAGGGCTCCCATGTTCCCACCTCCTCCATACACCTCCTTAAGCACGAGTGGATTCTGGGGCTAAGGGCAGTAACTAACGAAGCGCCTCAGGAATCCCAGCTTTCCATCAGTTCCCTTCCCACCCATCCCCTGCTGGCCAGGGATGGCTCCGAACTTTCTAGACCTGTAACTATGGGCACCTTAAACTAAAGAAGCAAAAAACCTGATATATAAAAGATGTGGGTCTGGTTTCTGAAAACTCGGCTGTGGAGTGGACTAACATGGGGAGAGCTCAGAACACGGGCTGGATTCTGAGGACAGAGTCTGCCAGTGGGGGGTCCCTCAAAGGATTCCACACAACTCACGGTTCACCCTTTCATCTATAAACACCCACACTGCACGTGTGTGATCCTGGGAGGCCGACTTGCAAAACTGGTGCTGACTCGGGAGAGACCTTTAACAACATAATCTGCCTGGTTATTAAAATACGAGGTCTTCACAAGTTACTGGAAAATGTGTATCACGAAAGCACTACATGGATTTGAAGATGTTTCTGCATCAGGTTTTCATCCCGCTTTCCCACAAGCCCTCTGAGTGCCCCGGGGAACGGAGGCGGGACTGCCGCCACTTCCTGACCAGCAGAGGTGCCTCGCTCCTTCACTCATTCCCTAAAGGCTCTGGTCTCCTCTGGCTCCCCTGCACCACGCTGTTACTGTCAACAGTTCAGCTGCTGAGACAGAAACCCTAAGCCTGCGGTGTGTCTACGACTGCAGAGTTTGGTAAAGGATCTTGCTGCCACCCTTGAACACACAGCTACATGCAACCTCTGTCCCCCCGAGACACAGAAACGTGCCACAGAACCCTTTATGGGATTCCCACTACAATGAGAGAATGTGCAGGACGGCCAAGAGCAAGATGACAGAACGATGGTGACTCCTGGGTATCACAGTTTGTCACCTGGCAAGGAGAAGACATCAGGAGACGCTAACATGGAAAAAGCTGTTCTCTTTATAGTTGGGGCCTACGTAAGAGCATCCCGCGTATCTCTGGGAGAAAGGCACCGGATAAACTCAAAGTCTTATTGCTGGCAGGGCCACACAGGCCACAGCTGTAGACTAGTGCTCTGTTCAGCCAGGAGCTGGGTCTAGGAAGTCACTCACTGACCTTGAGATGGGAGAGGCAAGGAAGGCAAATGTCAGTCAGCCCGAGCCCCGCCCCTTGCTCCTGGGAAGTGGAAGGAGGCGGCCTGCAGGGACGGGGGCTTTCAGACAGGCACTCTGTTTTCTTTGGCCCATTTCTTCATGATCCGGATGATGTACTCGACTTGGGTGTTGCCTGTGCTTCTCAGTAAGTGGAGGACTTCTCGGAGGGTCTCTCTGAGGAAGAGATTTCAAAGAAGAATGAGTCAGCAAACTCGTGAGCGCTCCTCACACTGTCCGTCCAGCGTGCCTCCTCCCCGGCCCTCAGAGTGGCACAGTGCAACGCAGGCTCTAAAGTCCTCGCCAGCCCAAGTCCTGCCGCCATCTCTCTGCACACTGTCACCTTCTTGTCCTCTGTGAGACGACCTAAATACTCCCTTCTCTGGGCTTATCTGCATGAAAACGAGCTGGGTTCAGAAAACTGAGTTCAAATTTTAGCTCTATTGCCAACAAATCACTTAATTTGTACGTCTTACAGTTCTCCTTAAGCAAGATTTCACTACAACATTTTCAAAATTTTATAAAGCTGGAAGAATGGGTGATTTCTTCAAAAAAAGTTATATATTAATAAATACAGAAGAAAACAGCATTAAGGACTAAGATTTGGCAAATGCCCAACATTTATGTGTTAAGTGATCTAAACTTAATTAAAATTAATACTTACATTTTAAGAAATGAATAGTAACTCCCCTATTGTTTACCAGAGCTACAGGTGACTGCCTATGGCTCCATCTCCCTCAGAGTCTTCTTATATTTCTACTCTATCTCCCTACAGGCAGCCTTTTTCACCTAACCAAATGAAACTATTTTCTAACCCAAAAGTCAGGGCCCAAGAGCTCCATCCGGGTCTCCCACACGGGTGGCAGGGACCTGAACACTTGGGCCATTTTCCAGACTAGCAGCAGGGAGCTGAATCAGAACAGAGCAGCTGAGACATGAACTCGTGCCCAGATGGATGCTGGCGTCGTACGTAGCAGCTTCACCTGTTAACGCCACAGCGCTGGCCCCCAAATGAAACTTAGAGTACTACAAGTAGATACAACACAGTAAGTAATTTTTGATGCATTATTTACTTAAAAAATTATCATGTTTCCTATTTAAACACCAGTAACAAATAAATTCAATGACAGTATTTTTCGAATATTGAATTTAGGCCATCTGGGAAGTGAACCAGTAAATGGAAGATTCTTTCTCTCTCTAACTCTTTCAAAATAAATAAACAAATCTTAAAAAATACTGAATTCAGTTTTAAATGTTTTAATTTTTGTTTCAAATGGAGCTATCATCCCCTTAACTCTATGTTTTCTAATGTGTTAGTATTTCCTGGAAGATGAGACGGCAGAAGGGGAAAACAATACCAGCCCTATTCACTCCATTCCTAATTCCTGAGCTTACACTGGAAGACAAGAACACGTCAACTAAGAAAACAGAGGAGAAAGACTTCGCTGATGCAGATGATATTCATTTGTCATCAACGGTACAGCTTGCTCTTACGCCTGAGATTTGTAAAATATACTTAATATCAAAAAAAAGTTTTAGAGTAATTTGACTCCATAAAATAAAACCTTTCTGGAGGAAAATGGCCAGACAGAATGGTGAACATCTTGGGGCTGGTGCTGTGGTATAGCAGGTAAAGCCATTAGCTGCGATGCTGGCATCCGTACGGGCGCTGGTTCAAGTTCCAGCTGCCCCACTTCCCATCTAGCGCCCAGCTAATGCCCCTGGGAAAGCAGCGGCGGCTCGCCCAAGTGCAAGGTCTCTGCAAGCACATGGGGGACCTGGAAGAAGCTCCTGGCTCCTGGCTTCAGATGGGTCCAGTTCCAGCACTGGGGCCATGGGAGGACTGAACCACAGAATGGAAGATCTTTCTGTCTCTCCCTCCCTCTTTCTCTGTAACTCTGCCTTTCAAATAAATAAATACATCTGAAAAAGAAGAGCACTATTTAACATCTTAATTTTTTCATCATTCTCAATCATCATGATCTTGAGTTTTCAGAAGATATCATGCAAGGAACGAATTACTTTCAGCTGGCACCGCAGCTCACTAGGCTAATCCTTGCCTGCGGCACCAGCAACCCGGGATCTAGTCCCACGTGGGGCGCTAGATTCTGTCCCGGTTGCTCCTCTTCCGGTCCAGCTCTCTGCTGTGGCCCGGGAGGGCAGTGGAGGATGGCCCAAGTGCTTGGGCCCTGCACCCGCATGGGAGACCAGAAGGAAGCACCTGGCTCCTGGCTTCAGATTGGTGCAGCGCGCTGGCCGCAGCAGCCACTTGGGGGGTGAACCAACTGAAGGAAGACCTTTCTCCCTGTCTCTCTCTCTCTCACTGTCTAACTCTGCCTGCCAATAAATAAATAAGAATTACTTTCCCTCACAAGGAAGCAAATGCCTAGGGGTAGAATCTCCCAACTGTTTACTTACTTGGGTTCTCTCCCGGCTAAGATCATCTGGAAAATGCCCACACAGGCACCCCTCTTGCCTTCCCAATATTCAGGGTTGGGATCCAGCCTCTCCAGGACATCAAAAGCTTTGGCTGAGTAGTAAAACTGGCCCATCTGAACAAAAGAAAGCAGTGTGGTAACACATGGTCAGAGGAGCACAGGGTGAAACCAGACACAAAGATAAAGGAAAACGAACTGCAGGGAATAAGTGCATGGTAATGACAACACTTTCAGCTAACATATCAGATAAAGTTCAGTTCCTCGTTGAAACAATACAAAGGAGACCACAGTCTGGTTATAGGTTGGGTTTAAAGTAGCCACCTTCATTCAGTTTTCAATAGGGCAACACTTTCCCTATAATGGTGCAGTTGTACTGATTCTGACACACTTGTGGTTTGTCTAACTGTATTCTAATCCTGAGGATAAACGGGTGACAGTGGTTCAAGCGGTCACTTTTCATGCCCAAGGACCACTATCATTTGTGCTATGCTAATCTGACCCTGTTCAGCTCAGGAAGTGGTCTTCCCTGATCTGCGGTTCTGTCTCTCCTAAACAGACTGTACTTTCTGTGGCCTCAAAGAACTCGCTGTAGCCACTGGGTTTCTTTGACGTGCGTTTTCTTGACTGGCAATCACATGCACCTGTTACTAATTTCTAAGTTACTTCTCTTTTCTACCAATCATTTCCCTAAGCCTTTAGCAATTTCATTAAGACCACTATTGCCTTCTTAGCTTTACTCTATATGTCACAGGAAAAACACAACTGTTCTCATTCAGTACAAATTACACTCAGATCGTCACTTGTCCTCTGCTTCTCTCTGCCTACCTCACAGGTACAAATATTCTTACTCAAGGTTAGACTTCACCTATGGCTTTCCACACACACACAGAGTTGCATGAAACCCACGCAGCTCAGTGTTCTCGTACTGTGCACACCAGGGCTCCCACACCCAGGTCAGACACACGAGGTCTACACCACACAGCTATGTTCTCATACTGTGGACACCAGGGTACCCACACCCAGGTCAGACAACGAGGTCTACACCACACAGCTATGTTCTCATACTGTGGACACCAGGGTACCCACACCCAGGTCAGACACACGAGGTCTACACCACGCAGCTCAGTGCTCTCGTACTGTGCACACCGGGGCTCCCACACCCAGGTCAGACACACGAGGTCTACACCACGCAGCTCAGTGCTCTCGTACTGTGCACACCGGGGCTCCCACACCCAGGTCAGACACACGAGGTCTACACCACGCAGCTCAGTGCTCTCGTACTGTGCACACCGGGGCTCCCACAACCAGGTCAGACACACGAGGTCTACACCACACAGCTCAGTGTTCTCGTACTGTGCACACCAGGGCTCCCACAACCAGGTCAGACACATGAGGTCTACACCACGCAGCTCAGTGCTCTTGTACTGTGGACACCAGGGTACCCACACCCAGGTCAGACACAGAGCGACACAAAAGCTCTCTGTGTGCCACTTCCAAGTCACAGTCACTGCTTCCCCACCAGGAGGTAACTACTGTTCCACCTTCCATGGTCCTCAGTTCTTTCACATTCTCTACAGCATACATGTATACATGTATCCTATGTATATATGGATCTTTTTGTTCCGTTTTAGAAAATGAGCCTAACTATTTAATAAAATTCAAGTTAAATTATGAAAAACTTCACTGCTTGAAGAAGGAATTTCCTTAACCAATCAAGAGAGCTACAAAATAGTACAACAAACCTAATACTGAATGATGAAATGTTGAAAGCATCCCTCCAGTACCAGGCATATCAAGATAGCCGGCCATTGTTCTTCAGCACAGGGCTGAGAACCCTACTCAGGGCAGCCAGACAAGGAACAGACAGGAAGTTTCTAATTATGGGGGGAGGGCGGCAGGATATGGTTGTATCTTTGAACTTCATCTGTATGGCTACTGTAAGTATTTTTGTGTCTTCCATCTATGACTCAACATTGCAAGATTCATCTATATGGCTGTGTATAGCTCTGTTTCATTAAAAAAATTTGTATTTTGAAATAATTACACAGGGGTGGGCAGTGTGATACAGTGGGTTAAGCAGCCACTTTTGGGATGTCTGCAGCCATACTGGAATGCCTGTGATGGAGTCCTGCCTCTGCTGCCTTTTTTTGGTAAAGATTTATCTTATTTATTTGAAAGACAGACTTACAGAGAGATCCTTGATCTGCTGGATCTGCTGTGTCGTGGTGGTGGTGGTGATGGCTGTGTGAGGACAGAGGTGACAGCGACATCTGTGGGCCATCCTGGCCATCTTGGGCCAGGAATGGGCCAAGCTGAACAGGGCCAGGAGCCTTGTCTGGGTCTCTCCCAGGATACAGACGCCCAAGCACCTGGGCCATCCTCAGCCGCCTTTCCCAGCTCACCAACAGGGAGCCAGATCAGAAGTGGAGCAGCTGGGATTCAAACAGGTGCCCACATGGATGCTGCAGTGGAGGGCGGCAGCCTAACCCGTTATGACACAATGTCGGCCCCAGCCGCCTCTGCTTCTGATCCAGTTTCTTACTAACGTGCTCCTTGACAGGCAGCAGATGATGGCTCAAGTACCTGGGTCCCTGCCACCCACACTGGAGACCCAGACGGAATTCCTGGCTGCTGGCTTTGGCCTGGCCCAGTCCCAGGTATTGTGGGCATGGCGGGGGGCGGGGGGGCAAACAGAAGATGGACGATGTCTGTCATTCTGCATTTGAAATAGTTTTTCTTTTTAAAAAGAGCTTCACAGGACGTTACAGAGACAACACAGAGGTTCTGTGTACCTTTCATTCAGTTTCCCTCGTGTCACAGCTTGTGCCACTATAGCACAACAGCACAAGACCAAAACCAGAAAACTGACAGTGGGACTGTGTGTGTTGATGAGTTCTGTCACTCCATCCCAGCTGCAGTCACACAACAGCTGCAGCCACGACACAGAAGCCTGACAACCACAGCTGTCACTGTCACCTCTGTCCTCACACGGCCACCACCACCACCACCAATACAAAACACTCAAACCTCATTGGAGGGGCTCTTACTTGTCACCTCTGTCCTCTCATATGCCTAACCACCAAAGTAAAATATAAGGCGAATCTGTAAGTCATGAAACTTATTTTAGAGTAATCTCTAGGCCAAAGGAACACAAGGGACTAATGAGACATCGTGGATAGCAGGAGAAATAGATTTTACTTGATAATCGGGATGGAAAAGGATCAATAAGACCAGGAAACTGTTCTTGTGGAAATGATTTATTATATTTCGTCAAAGCTAT